TTCCATTGTAATGCCCCGAAATTTTATGGAATAAAACTATTTGTTCTATGTGCTATATTTTTATAATTTTCGAAAGTTGATGGACTAAGATAAATAGTATTAAATCCAATATTATCTTGGGTAAAATAATTAATTATTGATAAAGTGATATATATGATAATTCAATTTTATTTCAGTTAAATATTTAAATTTCGATAAAGCAAATATAAGTATATCAATATTGGCTCCTTGGATAGCTTGTAATTAATCATGTATATTATGCTTGAGAAAAAATTAATTCAAATAAGCGAAACTTGAGTTATTGAAATTTAAAGAAGTTGTCACTAAATATTATTTTATTACTTTTGTTTGACTTGTGAAATTGGGCAACCACACGGTGGTTGTTGAGATTGAGTTAAATTGGTTGTTTTATTTGAATTGGATGGAAGTTTTAGGTAAATTGGACTTCCACTTGTTATAGGACAATTGTTCTATGTTTATTCATTTATGCAAAATCCATTTCCTAGAAAAAAATCAGAATTCTTTCACCATACTACATAATTTTTATAAACACAACAGCAAGTTGAAAATAAATTTAGAACGTGATTTTGATTTTTGTATTCTATGGCCATTCGGTATCAAAGATATCATATTTATTGAACGCTTACCGATTTCTAAAGAAATGATGATGGTATGATATTTTAACATAAGTTTTAAATCTTTTATTCAAAATTGCACCATTATTCATATTCTACTAAGTATTTCCATATATTTATCATTTTCCCCTACTTTTCACAAGTTAGAACAAGTCATTGGTTGGCAGGCAATGAGGTGCAGTCGTGGTACTAGGATTTATGGAATTTAATAAAAATAATTCGATGTAACGTGACTATGGATTTTATTTTTAGCATTATTTTAGTTTTATTATCATGTGGATTAAGGTACTTAGAATTTGGCACATATTTTATTTGGTTATGCTTTCTGTATGTTTTATTTATTATTGGTGGAACCAAAAATTTCATGTTGTGATGTTTTATATGTTTATTTAAATTATTGAATGAAACTTTTAGTAACGACTTAAATCTTTAAAATTTGGGTCATTACATCCATCTTCAACTTTAGATTTGATAAAATGTCTATCCACTTTTATATGCTTGGTTCGATCATGCTGGACAGGATTGAGAGAGAGAGGTTTATAATTGCTCTATTATTGCAATAGAGTTTGATTGAAAGTTTTACTGTAACTTGTAGTTATTCTAAGAGCTTCTTTAACCACAGTCTCTTGCACATTCCTTGAGCAATTGTCCTAAATTCAACTTCACCATTGCTTCTTGCTACTTCATTCCGCTTCTTACTTTTCTAGGTTACCAAGTTTCCTATACAAAGGTACAATAACCAGTAATCGATCTTCGATCCTTGTTGTATTAGAGGAAATTAGGCAAATTGAGATTGTGTGGTTGCATGGTATTCTTGTAGAACTTGGTGTTTCACAATCACATCCTACGCCCATGGTGACAATACTAGTGCTATTCAAATTGCAGACAATCTTGTATATCATGAACGCACCAAATATATTGAAGTTGACTGTCATTACATTCGGGACGCCTATGAGTCTAAACTCATTGATCTTCCTCATATTTTCACTACTCAGCAGATTGCAGACATTTTCACCAAATCTCTTAATAGAACTTGGTGTTTCACAATCACATCCTACGCCCATGGTGACAATACTAGTGCTATTCAAATTGCAGACAATCTTGTATATCATGAACGCACCAAATATATTGAAGTTGACTGTCATTACATTTGGGACGCCTATGAGTCTAAACTCATTGATCTTCCTCATATTTTCACTACTCAGCAGATTGCAGACATTTTCACCAAATCTCTTACTCGCCTCCGTCATAATTTTCTAGTGAGCAAATTGATGCTAGTGGACTTACCATCATCAATTTGAGGGGGGGTTATTAGAAGAAATTAGGCAAATTAGTTTATTTTATTACCTTGTATAGAGCACAAAATCAGGGATTAATTCCCTTGTATAATTTCCATGTACTATTCTATAAATTAAAGGCAATACAAAGGAGAAATTATCGAGCAAAATTGGCAAGGATGCGACTTGATATTCTATTTATGAGATAGGCCAATGTAAAGATGACATCTCCCCAGAATGTCTTGGGCATATTTGTAGTAAACATTAGGACATGAGCAACTTCAAGAAGATGTCTGTTCTTTCGTTCGGCAACCCCATTTTGTTGGGGAGTATCAACACAAGAACTTTGGTGAATTATCCCATTCTCTTGAAGATAGTTCTTTCGAGTATTGTTGGAATATTTTGTACCATTGTTTCTACGTAGAATTTGAATTCGTTTTTAGAATTGAGATTGGACCATTAAATGAAAATTGATAAACACTGAACGAACTACAATTTTGTCTTTTAGCAAATAGACCCATCAAATTAGAATATGATCATCGATAAACGTAATAAACCATTTTGTGCGAGTATGATTAGGAAATCGTGAAGGTCCCCATAAGTTACTGTAAATCATAGTGAATGCTTTAGAAGCTTTATATATGGAGATTGGGAATGACTCCGTTGATGTTTTGCCCATTCACATCATGAATTTTTTTTTTTGAAAATACAGAAGGAAATACGCATATCAAATGTTGAAAATTGGGGTGACTCATTCTATAATGCCATAATTTTTTTTCACCATTCTTATGAACAAATGCAGAATCACAACTAGCAAATTGATTATTGACGTTTACTCACATCAATCTCATCAAGGTAGTAGAGTTCGTCACATTACTTAGCACTGCCAATTGTCTTCCCCGATGATAGGTCATGAAAGACACAATTAGAAGGAAAAAATTTAGCAAAGCAATTAGAATTTTTTGTCAGTTGATTGATGGATAACAAATTGCAAGACAGTTTCGATACATGGAGAACAGATTTGAGGATTATTGAATGAGAGATATGAATACTCCCTTTTATTGCAACTGGAGAGAGTGAGACATCTGCAATTTTGACTTTGTTAAGGAAATAAATTAATAAAGGTTCACATAGATTAGGCATGATATAGGTTTATTATCTTTCCATACTTTTATACAGTTTCCATAATTGTACTCTTGTTTTCACTATATAATAAAAGTAGAAGGGAGGAAAAAATTAACCCTTTTCTCTCTCGTGTTTCTTCAATTCTTGCCAATAATTCTAACATGGTATCAAAGCAATAATATTCACTCTTGATCCCGTGTTTATCCTCGTGTGTTGATGGTGCCATCCTTGTGTTTTTCACTGTGCATCGTAGTCGGAGTCTTCGATGGTCACATCTTGAATTTACAGTCCCGTTCTTTAGCTTCTGGGACTAGCGCCGCATCTTGTTTGTGGCATCTGATGTTAGAGTCCGCCTCGATTGTGGAAGCTTGTTCCAGTCGTCGATGATTGTTAGTCATACTCTAATGTCATCTGAGTTTTTTGTGAGTTGGACCTATAATAGATCAATTTCCTACCTTTAGACCTTGGGCTGCCTTGGTGTATTATATTCGGGCTCAAGTTGTTTTAGGGCCCGCTTGTGTTAGTTTAATTACTATTGGTTTTACTGTCGAGCTAATTACTGGGTTTGTGGGTCTTTGATTATTAATAGCCTTATTCTCTAAGGTTCAAGTACTAGTTAGTTTGCATAAATAGAATTATGTCAGCCAAGATAGAAATGTTCAATATAAAGGGACTCATGGCGCCTGAAAAATTGAATGAAAGAAAATACACTTACTATGCTAGGTTTTCTTGCGGGGTAACCACTTGATTTTAGACAGGCCATCTGCTAAATCATCAGAAAGTGATTTCACAAAAACTTATTCTACTCTTAACGATCTGTGGGATGAAGAGGATAACACAATCATTGGACCTATGATAAATAGTATTGATCCTCATATCGGGCCTTCATCCCTCTATATGTCTATGGCTAAACAAATTTGGGAGCATCTCAAACATATACGTTCTGGAACTGGAAATATTACTCGAATCTATGAGACGTGTAAACAATACTTTGGGCTTGAGAAGGGCTCCTCTAATCTCTTTGAATATTATAATAGACTTTTGGCTGTGTGCTAAGAAAGGAATGTGCATCAACCTCTCTTGATTTGAAGGTTATGGAAAAATAGCAGGAAGACATTAATGTTAAATTCCTTATTGGTCTTCTATCAGAGTTTGAAGCAATCTAAACACAGATATTAGGTGGAAAAGAGCTTCCCAATCTTGTAGAGACATTCTCTCGTGTTCAGCGCTCTACTCTCTCATATAGTACACCCAGTGGAGATAGTTTGCTTTTATTGCCCAAGGTATAGCTCATTTAGGGATGGACGTAACGATCGGAGAGGACGTGGCGTTAGCTCTCAGGGTGGATGAGATATTAGAGACAGTGGTCATTCTCAAAATCATTAACCTTGAAAATATACTCACTGCAGTCATATAGGTCACTCCATTGATTATTGTTGGGACTTTCATGGCAAACCATCTGCTTCTGCAAATCAGGTCTCATCTAGTGAGGACCCATCACCCAGTATCTAGCCCAATGATTAACTCTAGTTCAACAAAAATGAGGACCATTTAGTTTCTCAACTATGAGTTGGAAAGAGGAGTTTTCGAGTCCATGGCAGCACATTGAAGAGTCTGTCTCTATTCCGAATTGAGATATTTCAAAGGTTGATTCTTTGTCATTGACAATGGAATCCGCCATAGATAGATAGTTTATCGGAACGTAGGCTCTGATAACATAAAGATAGAAATATAATATGAATAAATCCTGTGTATTTTATTCAATGATTAATCCAATGCTATGTACATGAACTTATAATACAATGAAGATGATGATGTGAAAGGAAAGATAATCTCCTAATAAAGGAAAGAAAAAAACTTGTCCAATAATTATTATTTAAACAAGGTATATCAATCACAATATACAATTATTAAAGTTCCATAATTTCAGGATTTTTCACAACACACTCAGATCAATCACTCTTTTCCTTATTTTTACATCAATGCAAGTGAAGTAGCTTTCAAGATCACAAACTAGTAGTTAGTGGTCTTAAAACAGATATCTAGTTATATAAAATCCAGTACCTCAATGCAAGAAATTGTTGCAAAAAGACCCCTGCCAGGCAAGTTTTCAAAACTTTCAACAGAAACAGAAGGGAGATCTTTTCCAATGCTATGATCTACAACAGCTCTGTACTGACAAAGAAGATGTTAATTCAATTATAAAAATTGGCTTGAGTGGCACCATGCTTGAGCACAAACGCATAAAATTCCAGTGCAAGGAATTTCAACTGATCCATGAATTCCCTAAACACGCAACAAAAATCAGGCAGAGACATGACCAAGAAAATGTCAGTAAACTAGAACCAATGTACAAAAAAGCAGCCCCTTCTCTATTTTTCATTTTTATTGTCCAAAGCGAATTTAGCACTGGTACCCAGTCTGATTGATTTATTAGAAGAATATGTCAGGTGGTAGGTCTGTAGGCGTTAATTTGCAATACCAAGTGAAGGTTTTCACCACGCAAAAATATTATCAAAATTCAATCTTGTGCATCTTACTCTTCTTGTGTATTCATGTTATGGAAATAATTATTTAAAAAGGAATCGACATCTTGTGTATTCTTGTTAGATGAACTAAAACAACTGCACAAGTCTTCAGCTTCGAGTTTGTATATATAGACTTGTAATGAAATTGATTACTATTAGCAAATCAAAATTGAGCAAACTGAACGGTATTTCATGACAGATATTTCCAGATAAATAAAACAACCTTCCAATGGGGTGAGTAGTTCCCTTCTCCAGCGCAGCAGCCACAGCAAGAGCTTCTTCCTCACAGCTAGGCAAACAGCATGAAGCTATTTGTTTCTCACTGTTGCTTTCATGTCCATGTATTGGTTCAATTGCTTTGCACGCAAATTCTCCAGTTGTTAATGTGCCAGTTTTGTCGAATGCAATGGTATGACACGATGCTAGAGCATCCAAAACATGCCCACCCTTAAGCAAGATTCCCTGTCAAAATTAAATTTATTTATGATGGGAGAAAAGGAGTAACAGACAAAAGTGCCAATTTCTACGAAGTTCATTCTCACAAAAATTCTGGCCCTTTTTTCCCCCAAATATTGCAGATCATCATTCCCCCCTGAAATTTCCAATGGAAAGCAGTAAAAGTATAGTTTGTTGCTACATGACTTGAAAAAAGCCAAAGCCAGATGCCCATTGTATGACAATGGCTGACATCATTAAAATGTTCATAGATTTGAAATCACATCACAACATTTAGGCAAGTCAATTAGGTAATTTGTTGAGTTATGAAAGCTTGTGTACAAACCCATGAACAACTGAACAATAACGAACAATCGAACTAGGATCTATACATAACATCCTAAATAAGATAGATAAATACCTTTCTTGCACAGGCACTAATTGCTGTAGCATATGCCAGTGGGGCTACAGCCAAAGCACATGGTGAGGCGGCCACCATAAGTCCCAATGCCCTGTAAACTGATCCTCTGCAAACTAAATGAATAAATAAAATTACAAAGCATATAGATTATCACAAGATCCACTAAAAATATACACATTAGTATCATGTACAACAAACAAATAGACAAGTGACTGGAGATTCATATAGAAAGCACGAGCAGTTTAAACTCAGGTGAAAAGCAACAATCTATTTCGAGAACAAATTATTTTATACTTGCTTCCTTTTGTTCATATAAATTACGTGACTTTATTGCAATCAAACTGCAGGAACCCTATATATAAGGTGTACAGAACAATTAAAGAGCATCTAATATAGTAAAAGCATCCATCCATGTACCCAACACACCGAGATAGATTGTGCACACCAAAAAAAGACAAAAAGAGAAGCGTCAAACTTCTGACCCCCAGGATGAGTTCTCAATCCGTGTAAAGTCTCTCCCATTTCTCTCTCCACACAACCAACATTAGTGCCGTATTCCACCACCTCAGGCAATCCATCGAAATAGCAAGTATGACCAGTAGTAGTCCGTATAAATTGAAGATGTAAGATAATAGGGCAACAACAATTTGGAGACAGGTGGCAGGAGTCAGGAGACACCAGCGAAAGTCATAGGGTATATAATGTGCAGATAAATGACAGATCGAGGAAATAGATCCATAATATACCTGATGTACTGAAAAATGGCCATTTGAAGAGCAATGGCCCCATTAATGCAACTGCAAAGGATAGAACTACAACTGCTTTACTGTAATGCTCGCCAAACTTGTCAAGCCATCTTTGAAGCCTTGGTTTACTCGATTGAGCCTCTACAGTCAATTGCACAATTCTGCTCAGCATCGACTCTTTCCATGTCTTCGTTGCCTAAATTGAATTTAACAACTCAAAAACGCATATCCTGGGCAGTAATGAAAACTAGAACTGCCAATGTGATCCTATCCAGGAGTCATCAATGAAAAGTGGGCCATGAAGAATCAAAATAAGAACACGATATGCAATTTTAACAAAGGATCTCCCAGCATAAACTGAAACACTAAAATCCTGTGATTGGAAGGGAAATTTCCATCACATGAACAATAAAACTAACATGAATTGTGCAGTCTCTGCTTAACACGCCACTTAGCATCAATATCAGTGGACAAAGCATGATACAAACAGCAAAGAGAAGACAGACAGCAGGTGATGAGCAATTTTCTGTACTGAAACCACATGGTGTGAAATGTTGAACAATAAAAGACATGAGATTGGCCTTCCCTAGACTATGGTCATTCCTTCCCCTACTTGTAAAATGGCGACATTATCACAACAAACCAAAGTTATTAAGCAAAAAATAAAAGACGCAATTCTACGTTTCAATCTGTCAGCGAAGTTACTATTAAACAATAATCTTGCTAAGTTCCTTCAATAGTAGCTGTTTTCCTAATAATCAACATCATCTTTTACATTACTCATGGAACATGACGCTTTTTACATCAAATTACAATTTATCTGTCACCTTAAGGAAGCAATTTGAGGAATAATTCAGCTCACTTAGAAGCATGTAAAGGGTAACCACATTCATCTAGTTTTCGGAGTCAAAAGTTTTCATTGATATAAAAATCAAAAGAGAAGGTTTGTCAGGCAAACTTCATGAAAATATTGCAGGAAAAGCGAACAACTATTTTTACATGCTTACCATTTTATTTTCCAGAAATCCTATGCCAATCCAATGAAACTGAAAAAATTGACAACTAAAAATGCAAATACCTTCATGAATCATATTTGATACTTCCATAACATTTTTAATTTTAAAAATTTTATGATTTGTTGCAAGACAGTTTCTAAACAAATGAGGGAATGATTTACATACCTTAACAATCATCATACCATCAACATTCCGAGCTCCCCCAGGAATGTTTTCCCCAAATTTCTTTTCAATGGGTTTGACTTCCCCAGTCAAGTGCTCAATGGTAATTGTTGATCTACCGTGGAAGACTTCACAATCTACCGGCACCGACTGCCCATGATAAAAACCAACATTATGAATGAAAAATTTTAGATGATCTTTAAACAAATAAAATCAAGAAATGCTGAAAATGGCAGATGTCACATCAGGGCCATGAATTTCTCAGATATTCTGTATAAGAAGAAACTCCAATGAAGGAAACAAAATTTACATGAAAACTCATCTTTAAACTATGACATTGTAAGACTAAGAAATTGAACTCCAGTAGACAGAATTCCTTTGAGATTATAAGCAGGTCTAACTACATTTTTACCCCACATTTCATTTACCCACAACTTGTATCCACTTTTTAACCACTCATTTCATGGGCCCCATCAACTTATAATCTCAACAAGCTTTATCAAACAGAGCTGAAATAGGTTGAACTACCAACCACAAAAAGAGTTGCTAGCTTCCTTTCCCATATCATCAAAATAAAACGTCTAGACAACATATTTACGGTCCACAAAGTGAAGTATATGTTTGGAGGTTAAACAATTCAACACTTTAATAGCACCAAAGAAAAAGCTGATACTGGCACAGGTAAATATAGAAATTCCTTCAGAGAAAGCAGATAAGAAATAACTTAGCACTGACTAGTACTCTCGTGCAATTTATCATCAATTACCCTGTATAACTTTTTTCAACTCTCAAATGTACTTATCACTATATCTCTCCTTGATTTACTCCAATCAATGTCAGCATTCATATCCAAGATACACCTAGCTTATGTGTTTATTGTTTCTTGATAACACAAAATTAGGCCTGTATAAGATTGCAACTGTTGTAGCAGACTAATAGAATTTTCCTTTTAGTCTCAGTCAATTACCCAAAATTCCAGAAGCAACATCCACTTAAATGACCGACCTTATACTTTGTGTTACATCATTTCCAAAACCCTTTCCCTCTGACTAATCAATCTTAAGAGTCAAAATTTTCACAATGGTATCTTATGACTTTTAATCTTATTAACTTTTTGAGAGTATTCCTGAATTGACAAAAAGAACAATCCATGCACTCAGTGTTACTCTTGACTAAATCTCAATCCTTTCATTTCATGATATTCTCTAGAACTCCATTTCAAAAAGTGGTCCTTATAGTCTCATCCACAAAGAAATTATCATCTGCAGTTTCTGTTTATAAAACCATATTCTGTTTACTTTCAGTCAATTAAAAAAGCTTTATGCATTGAGAAAGGAAAAATCCACTTTATGCATATTCGTGAAGGATCGAAGCAATATCAGGGTAAAAAGGCTAGTCTTTGGCAATTAAACTGATGTTCTATTCTGCAAATTCTAGTTATATTTTAGAGCAATAAGTTAAAGGTTCAGCATAAGCATACTAGTTCTCAAGAAAACTAGCACACTGATAAAATTGCAAGAGATTAGATCATCATAGTTTCTTGACATTTCGATTATTTTTTTCATTAGTTTAGATTATACCATGATTATTACATTCTTTAGAGCATGCTTAGAGAATTCTCATTATTACCACATACAACCTTTTTCAGAAAAATATAATTAACGAACTCTCAGGCATTTACACCACAATTAAGAAGGATTAGACAATTTGCACAACACGTTTTTTTTTTTTTTTTTTTTTTTTTACACTGTTGACTGTCATGATTAGCACGCGCAGAGGGTGACTAAAGGTTTTTACAACAAATAATCTTTCAGTTGTTGGTTCAAATATTATGCTGATTGTCAAGTAAGTGGCCTTGTTGAAGTCGAGGAAGAGAGTTAGAAGTTGGAGTTTATTCGTAAATTTTGTATGTGGAAAAGGGACCAGAAATGGACATCAGCTGGTTACATAAACTAACAAATGAAATGAAAGGGGAAAGGCTAATACGTAACAAACAATTCTCACACAAATATTTTCTAGTCGTGACAGAAGCATTCTCCAAATGATAATCAAGCAAACTCATGATTGCATTCTCAATCTACTGAAATCATTACTTCAACTGGATTAATTGTAAATAGCATAGAAGCAACATAAATATCACATAAAGCAGCATAAAATTTGAGTTTAATTAGCACAATAAACTCATCTATAATCTAGTGTTTCATAAGTGACGGGCAATTCTAGACACTATATTCTGCATAAAATCGAACAGTGAAGATCACAAGTTTATGAAACACAAACCTCACCAGCTTTGACCAATATATAAGATCCAACTTCTAAATCATTCACACGAACTTCATGGTATGTGAAATCAGAGACACTCGGCAACTTCCCATTGTTCACATCCAACACTAGTGCAGATTCAGGATGGTTCTCTTTTAACTCCTTGACATCAATTTTAGACTGTCCAGTAAAATAATCCTCTGCAATGTGAGCCAAATTGAACATAGATAAAAGCAATCCACCTTCCAAAGCATTCCCCATAAACACCGTAGCGAATGCCGCAAGCGCCATAAGTACATGAATATTAATTTTGCCACCCGTAATATCCATTACAGCATCAAACAAGGCCGAAACCTATATTTTCAAATATATACTTAAATTAAAATTTTCAGGGAAGCAAAAAGAGGGGGGGAAATGCACTTTAGCTAAACGTGCAGAAAATTTATCTGATTAAAGTAATTATTACCCCTACAAGAGGGAAGGCAATCAAAGTGAAGGCTTGCTGAAGCGGCTTGACAGCTGGCTTGGGGATCAAGTAAGGGCAAGCTGCAGCGGCTAAAAATAGAGCAGCTGAGCAGCAGCAGAGTTCCAAATGTTCCCTCAAGAAATTAGCCAGGTGGGTCCATTTGACGGCCTTGGCAAAACTTAAAAAATTTTCCTGAAACTTGGTGAGCCGGACAGAACACCCGTCATTGCTAGGACCGTGTTCGTGGTGATGGTGATCGTGGTGGTGGTGGTGGTGGTGGTGATCGTGGTCGTGGTCGTGGGTGGAGCATTTGACGACGGGAAAATGAGGGGTGGAATCGAGGGAGCTTAAGAATACGTGTCTATTTTGAAAATTTTGGTTGACTTTGAGCTTGATTCTTCTGGTTCTGTTGAGTGAAGGGTTTCTTGATATAATTAAGCTGGAGGGAAGACGGAGGGTTTCCATGATTGAGAATTTTGGGGGTAAACAATTTGAGGCTTCAGTACCTTGATTTCATTGTTGAAGAATTTCAGTGCAATTGTACAGGTAAAATGACACCATGTGCTCATTCTGAAAAACCATTTCATCATTCATAAACTATTGCACATTGTAATGTATAAAACACGTGGTGCCAACAGTCCTAAACGGGTAGCGTGGATGGTAGATGGTGGGTATTATCGTCATTTTGTCTAAAAACTTTATTTCGTGACATAAATGCCCCCATGTAACATACTCAGTAACACAGCATCAAATTCGAAAATTCATCCAAAATCAAGATTTCAACAAAAAGGTTGAACTTCAACCTTAAGGGCCCCACAGCCCCGTTCTTGGGGCATCATAAAGAAGGTAAATCGCGAGATGTACTCCAACAGACTAAAAAACAAGAATTTGTCCATACACTGATACCCACAAAATAGAGATTTCTCTAAGAAGCAAGATAAATATTTCTGTTGTCCTTTCTACAACGTGTTTCCAACTTGAGAGTTAGAGAGCTACCATGAAAAACTCTTCGGATGCACAATCTAATGTTGGTTTATGATCGGAAGAACAAGTTCTCAAAGTGGTCATCACTTCAAAAAACACCAACGAGCTATAAAATTTCATTTCTCAATTTTGACAGAAGATAGTACACAATCCAGCTGATAAAATTTGTATAAACACATTTGAAAACTTGGTCAATTCATAAGAATACCACTCACTTTTTTCTAGGAGCCAGATCCAAAATTTGTACTAAAATTGAAGGTCTCAGGAAAGTTTCCAAATTGCTAGTTGTAGTGCTATTTCAGTCAATGTACTGAAATTGAAAGAGATTTGTACTACAATTGAAGGTCTCAGTAGTTGTAGTGCTCTTTCCGTCAATGTCCTGATATTGAAAGACGCCCCTACTTTGGGCTTGCAAATTGAGTCGAATAGAAGTTTCTCCTACGGCTTTGAAGGCTGGCAATACACAGGCTTTCAAACATGACTACTTATTTAGTCCTCATTTGACAATCATTATTTGAAAAAAAAAAAAATGAAGTTTTGATTAGTGATTTTTAGGAAAATGTGTGGTTGAAGATGAATGTGTAGCAAAAAAGATTTTGAAAATAATGATTGTCAAACAGCGACTTGTATTCACAATTCCTTTAACAAAGCTTATAAAATTTTCCTTGTTATTGTATGGGATTACAAAGAAACCAATGATTCAAGCTCCCGTTTGGAACCCATTTTTTGGAAATGAAAATGGGTTGAATAGTGTTATTTGAAAAACAAATGGTTAAAAAAGAGAGAAAATTTTTCAATTTACCTGTAATATTATTTTATAGAAGATTGCGTGTTTGAAAATAAGAGATAGAAAAATAAAATGTAATTTAGCCCCCATTTTTAGAAATGAAAAATAGTGAAATAGTGTGTTTTTTTTTTTTTAATGAGAGATTGAAAAAGAAAGAATTTTTTTTGATTTACATGTGATATTATTTTATAGAAGACTGTGAAATAGAATTTAATAGGGGCCAATGAGATTCAAACATGGGCATTTGTATTTCAATAATTATGTATGATAAATTTTAGGGAAAAGTGCAATAACAGTTCTAACCTTTTCAGTTTTTTCAGGTTTTATCCATAATCTTCATTTTGTGCCACTCACAGTCTCAAACTTTCAAAAATATGCATCTGAAATCCAAATGGATCCATTTGACCATTAATTAACCAAAAAAATCAAAATATGATCAATTTTGACCAAATTAAAAATGGCAAAATGGTAACTTTGTATTTTTCTCATATTAAAAAAGTTAAAAATAAAATTAAAAAACCAAAATATGAAAACTAACCCTTCTTCCTTCCACTCTACTCTTTTCCATTCCCACGCACACTGACTGTCGACAATACCACCCAAAGGCCGGCCACCACTACCACCCACATATTGTCAACAACGTCGCCCAAAGGCAGCAACCATCGTCACCCACACAACCATTATCTTCTGGGCTCAAAGAAAGAAATGAGAGTTTATATATTCAAAAAATGGTTTTACTATTAAATGTTCACAATTTCTTCATAGCCACCTATTTTTTCACCAAATTTCCATTTTCTTCACAGCCACCAGATTGGGGCTCAGAGTACAATCTTTGCAGTAACTTTTTGGATTTTTCGAGTAGGGTTGTTGAATTTAATGTTGAAATCCCATGTAAGCATTTTCAGATTTTTTTGAGTTGAGTTTAAAGTTTGAAAATGGGTAGTTACTGGCAATGGTAATGGTGGTGGTGAGGAGATTGGTGTTGGTGGTCATGAATGATTTTCTTGTTTTGATTGGATGGAGGTGGAGGCGGGAGTGGGGGTGTGGTGGTGGTCGGTGGACGACGATCAGCCACCACTGATGCTGCTGCAATTTGGATTGGTAGGGGTGGGGAAAGATTATGATGCCCCATTTTCTTTCTTATTTTTTTATTTATGGTTTATTTATTTATTTTTTAACTTATTTAATGGGAGAAAAATGCAAAGTACCATTTTAACCCTTTCATTTAGTCAAAGCCACTTTTCTTGGTCAACTAACGGTTTTCCATCCATTTAAACTTCAGATGCATCTTTTTGAAAGATTTGAGATTTTGAGTGGCAAAAAATAAAAATTATGATAAAGTCTATAAAAATTAAAAAGGTCAGGGACCGTTGCTACAATTTTCCTAAATTTTATTTCAAAAATTATGTGTCATCCGACCCCCACCTCAATCCACATCCACCACCATCCCTATTTTTTCCCCTAACCGTAACCCGCCATTTTCACCCCCCACAACTAATGTCACCCACGATCATTGGCAACACTACTTACCACCATCTACTATCAACGAAATCACTGCCAAAACACAACTACTACTTTCAATTGGTCCCACAACATTGTGTATGGTCAATAATTTGCAAAAAAGGATTCTGAAATCGCGAACCAAAAACTTGAATCCAACCAGGGAGATGCTTTACGTACAGGGGGCATTTACAGAGGTCGGTCAGGGCAGACACAAGGGTGGAGCCTGCACAATTTTTTTTTAAATGTGGGACCAACCTGTAGCTACAGTGAGGGAGCATGTAAGCCCCCTGTAGAACAGTGCCCTGTACGCAGGGCATTGCTCATCCAACCATTATTTACTAGACCCACCATTGCAGACTGGCCACTAATCCAACCATGGGTCTTCATCAATTGGAGTGGGACCGGATGAACTAAAAAGTGTTTGTGACAATTAATTGGATAATTTTTTACTAATAAATAATTTATGACAATAGTATTTTAAGTGTAACCCGCAAATTGTCTTTGTGATCATAACATTGTGTGATTTGTTATTATTATGTAATCATGATTAGAAATTTTTTATTATTGTGATCATGACCTGATTAATTAAATTATAGGTCAAACTTTTATTAAAAGTCACATTTTGTGACTAAACTTTTTCCAGGGATTACAAAATATTACCATTAAATTTTTGGGGAAAAAAATCCACAATTTCATTATTTTTAAAAATGAATATTAAAACATTTGTAGTTATATAATTTTTCTTTAACACTTGTTTCGTGGATATTAAAATCAATTTTTTAATAAATTTTGATAAAAATAAATGAAATATAGATCAAAAAATTATGAATTACATGAAATATCTGATTAAAATTAATTATTAACTTTAATTTTAATAAAAACCCATTTTATAATTTCTACGAAATAGGGACTCATCTTATTCTCAAGAGGTTGATTGAGTAATATGGGATTACACGTGTGAAATTACGAAGCCACAAACACTATTTATCCCGTGTGAAAACATGGATTGCGATACAAGACGCGCCTCTTCGTTGTTCTCTATCCTTGATTTCTAACTTTATCAAATTGAGCAATGTGCAATTTTTGATTTACTAATAGTAGGATGTCAATGAATCGAATCGAAACTTAAAACTCAAGCTCGATTCGAGTAAAAATAGTACGATCTATTTTTCAATTTTTTTGCTCTGGCCAAGCCAAGCTTTTGTTATACCAAAAAATCTAGGCTCAACAGAGCTTTCGGCTTGAACCTTATCCAGCCAAGTCGGCTTGTGATTTTTTATTTTTATTTTATTATAGCCAAGCCAGCTACGTGCAATAGCCAAAGCATTATCATTTTTTTTTTTTTTCTTTTTTTTTTTTTTTTTGGGATAGGTGACAGTATCATTGTTATCTTGTTACCACTAACATCTCATCCTCATATATCATCGTCATCCTCCATCGCTTTATATCACTACCATATCCATTGTTATACACAAGTTAATTTTTTTTTTAAAATAAATTTGCTCATCACGGACCAACTTAAGCTTTTCCCAGATCAAACCGCTGACCACTCGAGTCAACAAGTCAAATAGACACCCTTAATTACTAGCCATTCCACACAACAATGATTTCTAATTTAAAAGTTCGAAACAAAACTAAGTCAAATCACGGCAGCCAGATAATGTCAAGTGTATGACGTGTGCAATGAACTGTTAGAAGTGCAAGCAGTTATTGACTTTCAAATTCCCACCCCACAGCCACAACTAGCATGTTTAATAATAGAATTCAATGATACAAGAGAATAAAATTAATACTCTCCTTTTTTCTTTAATCACTTCAAAATATAGTTCAATGAACCAAACATGTTAACATACGAATTAAATGACCAAGCATATGTTTAGGATATCTTGATCTTTCGCAACAATTATAATTTTTACTTCAAAAGTAAAAAAGCAAGTTTTAAACATGACAAAGCAAGCACCATTCCACTACCAAATCAAAGGAATGCATCAGCTAGTGGTCACCTAGTTTACCCTAACCAAATATAAAAGAAGCTGAGAAGATTGAAAGAATAAGAAAATAAAGAATTGAAGACCAAATATCAACTTGGATCATCAACAGCCTGCCACAACAGTCCATCCTAAATTATTTGTTTGTCAAAAGGCGACGGATAATGAAATTTGTTTGCCATATAAATACTCCCCTAAAGCCGCAGTTCATTAAAATCAATTTATCCCAATAGTTTCTAAACTAAAACATTGAAGAGCTGAATAATATGGTGGGAAGAAAAGCCAATGCCTGGGCTGCTAGAGACTCTACTGGTCATCTCTCTCAATACTCATTCCATCTCAGGTAGTCTCTTGCTTAACAACCTCCTCTCCCAATCTTTCTTCAAATCAATATAGAAAAAGATGGAAAACTGGAAGTTGATATGTGTTTTTATGAACAGGGATACAAGTAGCGAAGACATGGTTTTAAGGGTTCTGTATTGTGGAATAGACCACACTGATCTCCATCAGATCAGGGGTGAACTAATTAGTAATACCAAGTACCCTATGATACCAGGGTATGCAACATACGACTAATATTACATGGCTTCATAGTTCATATAATTTATACCTATCATACTCGTGCACAATAAATTTCTGTCCATAAGCTGACACGATCTTATTTCATGGATTTTTCAGTCATGAAGTGGTTGGGGAAGTTATCGAATTGGGCTCGGACGTTAAGAAATTTAGTTTGGGAGATATAGTAGGAGTAGGCGGCATAGTTGGCTCTTGCGGGGAATGTTCTTTGTGCAAGTCCAATCTGGAGCAGTACTGCAGTCAAAGAATTTTACCCTACAATGATATCTACAAAGATGGAACTCCAACACACGGAGGATTCTCTTCAAACATGGTTGTTCATCAGAGGTGTGCACATATAACTTACATCACACAAAACACAAACACAAAGTTCAGGCACTTAAAGCATTTGCAGAACGCGAACAAATACAATCACAGAAAGACTTTATATAACTAAATAAGTAAGTCTCCTACCTAATAGCTCAAACTTTTAAATGAGGCCTCATTCAGGTTTGCAGTCAAGATTCCAGAAAAGCTAGCACCGGAACAGGCAGCACCCCTACTATGTGCTGGGGTGACGGCTTATAGTCCTCTAAAACAGTGGATGGGGAGCAATAAGAATGTCCAGGGGGGAATAATGGGCTTGGGAGGAGTTGGTCATCTAGGTGTTAAAATAGCCAAGGCAATGGGGCATCACGTTACTGTGATAAGCTCCTCTAATAAGAAAAGAAAGGAAGCAATGGAGGATTTGAATGCAGATGTTTTTTTAGTGAGTACCGATGAGGATGAAATGAGGAAAGCTGCAAACAGCCTCGACTACATTCTCGACACCGTACCAGTTTTCCACCCACTGCAATCATACCTTTCACTGCTGAAAACACAAGGAAAGTTTATACTAGTTGGCGCACCCCAACAGCCTCTTGAAATTCAAGCTGGTGTCATGATAGCTGGTATGTTGTCCTACATAATCAGACCAATCAGTTTCTAATTACGAAAAACACAAACATGACAAGTTATTTTTGATCTGTGCATTTATGCTAACTGTATTTTGTTTAATGTACCTAGGAAATAAGACAGTTACAGGAAGTTTCATAGGAAGCATGAAAGACGTGCAGGAATTATTAGACTTCTGGGCAGGAAAAGGAATGACGACAATGATTGAGGTTGTAAAGATGTCCTATGTTAACAAGGCATTTGAGAGAATGGAAAAGAATGATGTAAGATACAGGTTTGTTCTGGATGTAGCCGGCAGCAATCTTGAGTGACAGTGCACGGCAATGATGCAATTTTTGAATTCAAATACCTATTCCATACACAATAACTTTGTCAAATTCTCTATACTGAGAAGAAAACAGTGCTATTGGTTTTTACTACGCTATTCTGGCATCAGATAGCAATCTTAATAAAGAGTTATGGGTAGGGTTGGCAACGGTCCGGTTATGGGTCGGTTCGGCCAAAAACCATAACCGCACCACCAAATTTTTGATCATACCATAACCGCATCATAACCACGTAAATCGATTCGGTTCGGTTTTTGTCTCGGTTCGGCACGGTTCGGTTCGATTAATAAGCACGAAAATAAATTATTTTTTATAAGTTCATCCGTCAAATTGATATAAAACAATTTATTGAAAAAAGTCAATGAAAACAAAAACACAATATTCCAAACGAAAATGCAAACATTATCAAACAATATTCCAAACGTAAATGCAAACATTATCCTAATTTTCAATTGTAAAATACAAATTTAACAAATAATATTATAAATATAATAATATTAAACTTTTCTTTCATTCTTAATTGTTGTGCATCGAAGTTACTTGATGCATTCTTCCCTACAAGTCTTACTAGCATAGATCAGCATTCAAAGTTGATTCCTATTCATCCTTAGCAATATTGGCACGTCTAGAAAAATATCGAACTCTATTTTTACATGATCAACAGTAATAGAATGACTAACAAATGTAACAAATTTTCGGAGGCGACGACGATTTGGACCATAGAGGCAATGGAGCCGTGCGTGAATTTGTGGTTGTGGAGAGTAGGATTTGCATTTATATACTGTCATACTAATGCTATTATGGACTAATGGTAAGTAGACTGGCCGAATGAATCAGGTAGATGTAATGAGGAGGGGAGGGATTTTGTTTTGATTTGGATAGAAAAGTAGTGTAAAGCTCATTATCAATTCAAATTTTTTTTTTTTTTTAGCGGGTAATCGGTTCGGTTTCGGTTCGACGACGTAAATACCATACCCGCACCATTACGAATCGATTCATTAAAATCAAAACCATATCCGCCCCATTGCACCATCGGTTCGATTTTTTTCGCCCCATTCGGTTTGGTTAACCGCGATTTTCGATTTTGACGGTTCAAATTGCCATCTCTAGTTATTGGTTGATTCCATAACCATGTGATATTGTAATAACAATTAATGTTCTCAGGTTGCTGTGTGATTTGTCCAACTTCATGTCAACTGAAAGAAAAGGATCTAATATTCTGATTTCCATTTGTCCAACTTAATGAAAAGGAAATTTCATGTTAATTAAATAAATTTCAAAATCGAGAACACATTTACAAGAAGATAAGGGAGAACAAGAACATAATGGAACACAAATATTCCATCCATTTTCCCGATCTCTTGCACAATCTATTTGATATAAGTTCACGGGTAGGAGCTTATCAAAATTTACAGCCTAAAGAATATTGCTTTCCTGCTTCTAAGAGTAATTTATGAAATTTGAAAATTAAAAAACTGCTGGCTTACCATTTCACAAAAGGAATTGTTCTGTGATGCAGCGTGCAGCTTTACAGGGTGCTGCTAAAACAGATGCCACAAATTTCTCGACAATCTTGAGAGAAAAAAGGAAGAAGGGCGCTGCTCAAACCGATTATATTCAGAATTCACAATAGCACCATCAAAGTATAAGCGACGCAAGCTAATTCCAGAAACGAAAGTGCGTGGGTGTTAGATGAAAAATGCATAAAAAAGTAGGTATCATCTGTCACAGATGGTGTCTCTTAAGACTAACAAAGTTTATAGAGTATATGATACAGTGCGCAGCAGTTCTGAAATTAATATGATGCTAACAGATTCCAACCTTTCACTTACCTAATGTCATCGTTAAAGAGCATGGATCATAACCAAAAACTTTTTATTGTATACAAACATATGCAAATTATGAAAAGGAAAAAGGAAAATAAATAGCAATTATTGCAACAACAGATCGGCAGTTTATCATGCAGACTATCAAACATATACTGGTCGGTCAAGAAACTCTGCCAAAGCTTCTGCTACCAAACATAAAAGCTAGTATTGCATTTGATGTGAAAACCCAGTTGTTGAGTCAGTTATCCTTCCCTTTGCCACTTCCTCCCATTATTTTAGGGTCATCATATGTAGCAAGAAAGAAAGTGCTTTCATTCTTTTGCAGAAACCTACATTCAAACATACACCAATATATAGGTCAAGCGTTGCTAACTCAAAGGTCATTCAGATTTAAATAGAGATTTAGCAATATCCTTCATTCCAAAATATCAGAAGATAGGACAGACTTGCTGGAAATGACAGGCTACCTGGCCCATCTACAAAGAAATTACATGGTAAATTAAGTGATTGCTTAAAGGCAGGTAATTTCTGACATGGGTCCATTTGCGGAGACAACAGGCAGCCAAAAACTGACTCAAGAAAATTTATGAAAGGTAATAGAAGAAAATAAAAATAATATATACATGGGAATGCAAGGAAACAAATGGAAAATAGAATCCATATCATGACCCTTGATTGCCTCACTGAAACAAAGATAAAAAACTGCACACATTCAAGGACGCACGTCAAAATAATTGTATAATTATCTCACCAATAATGCAGCAATCTAAAGCAAGAGACCTTTGATCAATTTCAATAGCTTTGCTACGACTAACAATGAAGATGAACCTCATATTCAACCCAAAGTTCCTACTCCCCCACATTAGTACAAAATAAACAAATAGTGGGTCCCACACAGAAATTGTGGCTCCTATTTTATCTACTTCTATAAAAATGCTACTTTTAAGCATGACCAAGAAAGCACTTAATGACAGAAAGAAATTATATAGAACTTATACTTGAGAAATTCGTGCAATTTCTGCTGCATCCGAATCAAAGTCTCCTCATCAATTTTGACATACGCCAACAATTCCGGCAACTTCACTGCACATAGCAGAAATTACATAAACACAGTATTTCTAAAATTGGAATTAGACCACCACCACCTGAGCCTTACCAATAAAAAAATGGAATTAGACAAAAAGATAAAAATGTTTTTTGGAAAAGGTAGAACTATGATAAGTTCATCGTCTTGCACAACAGAAAAAAGTCAATCACATCAACACAGATTGGAAGTTCATCATTTAAATAATAAGACAAGGAATAAGTTTCTTAAATAACAAATCTTACCAAACTTGCTAAAGTATATCAAAATAGAAATTTACCAAAGAGGCGCAATAAATGTTCGGCACCATATATATTTGAAGGGGTGACATTTTCTGAAACTGCTTCATTGTACTGTTCACGCTCCTTTTTGTACAAAAGAACAACTGGCAATGCTTTGTTAAAATAACATCGCAGTCCCTTCAAAATTTCTCCAACTGCATCAGTCTTCCTGTATTTACAAAAATGTAATCAAAGACCACTCATCTAGTAACCTTTTGAATTCCAAAACCATATTCAATCAATTAGTACCATGCACATGTAATGCTACTAGTACAAGTAAGTTTATCGGACCAGGAATGCGCAAAAACGATTATTCATTTATTCCCAACGCTGCTAAAAATCTGCGTCTAAAAACAAATGAAAAACGTGGAAACAAAAATTTATGAACACAGATCACTTCATGATACTACGTCCACTTAAAAGTTCTGTTTGCCATGTAAGTGTCCAATATGCCAAATACCTGATGGAAACATATGGAAGTAGTATGCTTAAATTTCCACAAAGCATGTCTTCCCTTAACTGGAATATCATCGAACCCTTTAAAAACAAGGTTGTCATTCTTCTGTACATAGACATCTAGCCAAACAATATATTGAAGGGATATGGCTTTAACAGTTTGTTCTCCAAGTTTTGTATCAAAAGGGAAGAAAGATGAGAGAAAACAATCCTGATGGCGAAGATCAATTTATAATATATCCTGTAAAGTGCGTGTTAATCTCACAAGTGACAACTGATCATATATTTTAACAAATATCCAAAAAATCAGGCCGAGAAAATTGTTTAGACAAAAAGAATTTTAGGGAGATTGCTTTATTCATTATATTTATAACTTAAAAGAAACATATCAGCAATGAAAGGCAAGCTCTAAACTCATAATAAAATGCCCAACTAAACACAAGCTGGCTACAAGTCGACAAGCAGCCAATATACCAATTGTGCAAGAATGCATAGCTGCGCTGTAGAGCAATCTCTAACACAGGGTGCGTAAGGCCGAAAATTCACCATCACAAGTAAGCACCATGGATAGAACCAACTAGGGGTACAAGTAACGTTGATCAATAAACAAAATTTTAAGAGAATTAAAGCAGTTTCTAATCTGATTTGGATTTTGCTAATGATGCTGAATAAATATTCTTGATAAGAACCGAAAGAGAAATTGATACTATCACAGCAAAGCCATGTCCGGATCCTTCACTTGGTTGTTTATTTTGTGTACCCACCCTAATCCTAATGGAATTGCATGCTATCAATCTTCTGCTCGGCCTGTTCCTTTATGGGAAATAACAGGCCCTGGCCACAGTCATAAACACAGACCTCTAGAAGAGCTAGTACAGATTTCAAACAGAGCGTGCAAAATACAAAATTCACAAGTTGATCAATCCTTTAGAAATGTAGAGATAGAAACTTACGTGCCATCCTTTTTGGACCTGTAATCAAGGTACTTTGCAATAATATCTTCGACATTAGGAGATCGAGGAAGTCTTACAAGCTGCAAGAGAAATGCTTATGTGAAATCAATCATAAAATGAGTCCAGATAATAATTATTTTATGCAATCCCTAAAAGCATGCCAATTCCATATTAGGAGAAAGATGAGCTACAGTCCCATGTTCTTTTGTATCTTCAAGGATGGAAGAAACAGTGTTCAGCTAGAGTTTCAATAGAGCAAGGAACCAGGTGCCAGCAAGAAAGGATCTTGTAGCCGAGTCCCAATAAAATTGAAAGACGGCATATCAATTAGCACAATACATAAGTTCAATAGATTTATGTACAACACTTCTTCTACCACAAATGATACACTCCAAACCGAGAAAATTTATTTGAAACGAGAAAGAACAAGCATTTATCTCTTTCATTCAAAAGTAAACAATTTCAACAGACATTAGCAAATCAAAAAAGCACTTCCCAGTTTGCATTCTAGGATTTTATTTCTTCCATCCAAAAGTAACATTATTAATTGACATATGCCAATCAGAAGCGTTCTTCCCAGCTCACATTCTATATCCAACAAGGTGCTCTCAATTACAAATTATTTGTCATCAACTAGGCAGGGAATTATAGCCCTTGTTTGGGCTCAATTTTAATGAGATTTTGGGAAAAATGTATTTTGAAATAGTAATTTTTTTTTTTTTTTGGAGAATGTGAGGTTAAAAAATAAGAAAAAGTTTTGGGTTTACGTGAAATAATATTTTATTGAAGAATTTGTATTTGAAAATGAAGAAAGAGAAAAATGCGTTAAAGTAAAATGAAGCCCAAACAATGGCATAGTCAGCCAATTGGAAAATAGGGAGTTTTTGCTTTATTGTCTGGTGTTTTCTTATTTGGGGTGGTGGGATGGATTTGGCAGCAACCTATACAAGTAGTGAAGTACCTTATTCTGCTGAGTGATAAACTCCCAATCATCAACCAATTGCTTCTTTAGAGTAGATGGAATTTGGATTTTGAGGAGTTTTTCTGCCCCTGAATTATTTTTCTATCAAAATAGAAAGACGATTAGGATTTATATAAGCAACAAAAAATCACAATCTTAACAAAGTATAAGGGCCAACTGCACAGCAAATGAAAGTCAATTGAAGTTTATGCTTCCCACAAGCAAAGAACTAGCTGTTAGCATAATTTGCAATTATAAAGTTATATTAAAGAGAGTATGGAGCACTCAACAATTTGAGAAGATAATAGCAGAAATTTGGCAAATATAATGCAATGAAATACAATGAACACTTGACACAGATAGGAGATGATTTCAATGTTTTTACATTAATTAATTAGGTGTGTTTAATTTGATTAGGAGTTATGTTTATTGGTATTAATTAATGGTTTGTTATTATTATGATTAGGAGTTATTTATTAATTAGGCTTTTTGATGATTGGGAACTACGTTTTATTACATTAAGAGGTTTTATGTCTCCACTAAAAGTTAGAAGGTTTGTTGATTGTAAGATATTTTGAAATGTAGAAACGAAAATTAAATTTATTTGTACTAATAGAGCTCAGAACAAACCTCAATGCCCGAGTCAGCCTTTCGCTTCTTCCCTTTTGAAACTGCAACAACATCACAAGAAGAAAATCGTAATTTTCCCTACCAGAAACTAAAAAGGATAAAACCAGAAGTTTTCCATTATCTTCACCATCATCATTGATCAATTCTTTGACTACTGAGCCATGCACTTTTATGTGTAAAAGTAAATAGATGACCAGTAAAAATCACATGGCTGAACTTAATACTAGCCTAATTACTATGGTAACAGTTTTGACAATACAATAATTAAGGCAGATTAAAGAAAGTGACCCATATTTACATGATAAAGAATCATACTGGCAAGTTTCAAAATAGTCGAGTTCATCTTCCACAGGATATAGAAAGTGGAAGTGAAGATGTAGAGGAAAGTAAATTGATAGGAACAGAAAAACAGCATACCATTATTCTTAGTCTCCTCGTTATCCAATTTACTATCTGTAAAATCCAGTGTAGAAATATAAACTTAGATAGAAAAAAAATGCAAACCATCAACAAATATCATAAAGAAATATCTCATTACCATTGTCCAAAAAAAAAAGGAAAAGGGAAAATTTGATTACCCCTTCAGCAGAAAAAGGATAGTTTCTAAATTCCTGACACTCTCACCAGAGGCAGAGGTAGTGCACATATGCGAGGACAGCTAGTATTTAGTGTTTATTCCTTTTGGGTACTGTCCAAATATACATTATTATCATTGAAAATTCAATGATCCCAACAGGTTATATTTGGCAAAGTTCAGTAGTATTCCACCTAAAGAAATCTAGCAAAAATGAGAAGGCAGTTATCATTCTCAGTTCCTTGTTTGGCTGCAAATAAAAACTCCCACAAACAATAATCCACAGAACAACCACCAATATCAGGGATGGTTAGGTGGTATTCTAGAACAGGCATTCCTTTTGGAAGAAGGCTGCTACTTAACTTTGGAACGATAAGTTCTACTTCTTGAGTATATAATATCAAATTGAGAAACAAAAGGGCATACCAGATGAACTTTTTGGTTTCACTTGTGATGAACGCCATGACTTCGCATTCTTGTCTACACCAGCTTTCTTATCAAGGGCCTGCTGCTTCAAAACATTCTCTTCAGTATGCTTCATCAACCGATCCATGCCTACCCATTCATCCCAACTATTGACAAGATATTAAGGGCATCAGTGAGTAATTCTGTATGGATTATTTGACGTCAACAACATTCAATATGCAGCTTAATAACTTCATTGGTTTTTAAAGTAATTATTAAATCCAAAGTAAATTATTTGTCATGGCAGGATATCATTGCTTGGCTCTTGATTGAATTTCCAACCACAAAATTGGAAGTTTACTCAATACATGAAAGGATCGGGATGAGGAGCTGGTCTACTCAAATTTGTGACTAAGTACAAATATCAGTTATAGGTTATCCAACTAAGTACAAATATCAGTTATAGGTTATCCAATTGCTGGTTTATAACCTATTAATGCACTGCATGGTCCACATCAAGGGCTAAGAACGCCAAGACAAACTTTAGGGACATCAAAGCCTCTCAATGGATTTTTTTATGCTCCTATTCAGATTTCTTGTATGCAGTACTTCAAATCGAAAAGCTCAGTCAATCCTTAAATATACGGGATTAATTTGTATAGGTTCACTTACAAGAAACAGATAATTTCATTACTAGCATGCAACACGAGATGAATGAAATTTCTATCATCACTAAAATATCGCACTTAATACTTTTACTAGAGAAAATGAATGTATTGTGACAGAATACTTTCACTAAAATATCACGCTTAATACTTTTACTAGAAGATGAATTATTGTGACAGAGTTTAGTTGACAAGAGAGAATAGAAAAAATGTAATTCCCAAACTTTTCTCTACACTCGAAGATAAAGAAAATCCTTTCATTTTTTCACGTTTCCTTTAACATAAAGCATCAAAGATCAGCAATGGAAAATCAGTTGCAAGCTAAGATCATGACAGGTCCATAAACTCCTTCTACCATCAATCATTTGAAGTCACTTAAGTAGGCACGGGACTCGAGATAGGTTTGTTGACTCAAAACCATTAGCCACCATTAAACATGTACTTTTCCTTTCTCATTTATTCATTTCACTTGGCTCATAGCAGGCCCCAACCCATACAAAAGCAAATCTAACACCAAACAACTTGTTGGTAAATCACATGCACAATAAAACAATTTTTAAATTTTTAAAGATCGTTTTGGAAAAGAAAATGTCCATAGTAGTATACAAGTACAAGATTGAAAAATGAATAACCTTAACTCCTTTACCAAAATAATTTCCTATCATTATTATTGCGAAAGTCCTGGCGAACAGATTAAAGGAGGTGCTCGAGAAAGTAGTGTCCAAGTTTCAGAATGCTTTCGTAAAAGGTCGCCAGATTTTGGACTCCGTGCTTATAGCGAATGAATGCATTGATTCAAGATTGTGTTTGGGAATTCCCGGGATGCTATGTAAGCTCGATATTCAGAAGGCATATGATCATGTAAACTGGGGATTCCTTTTGTATATGCTTAGAAGGTGCGGTTTCGGGGATAAGTGGTGTAAATGGATTCAGTTCTGTATTTCTACTGTTTCGTTCTCAGTTATGGTCAACGGAACGCGGAAGGGTTATTTTCGGAGTAGTAGATGATTGCAGCAAGGAGATCCACTATTCCCATTGCTTTTTGTTATTGTGATGGAGGCTTTCAATAAGATGTTTGAAAGAGCCGTGGGAGAGGGTTTGGTAAGGGGCTTTAGGGTTGACCAATTGCAGGTGTCTCGTTTGCTATTTGCAGATGACACGTTGATCTTATGTGATGCGGATGATGAACAATTTAGGAACCTGCGTCGTTTGCTCCTATGTTTTGAAGCGGTGTCTGGATTAAAAATCAATTTGGGGAAATCTGAGATTATTCCAGTTGGGGAGGTCACTAACGTGGAGGAGTTGGCTGGCATATTGGGATGTAGGATTGCACAATTGCCCATGTTATATTTAGGCCTCCCGCTAGGGGTACGGTTTAAAAGTACACATATTTGGAATGGTATTATGGAAAGAATGGAGAGGAGGTTAGTAGGGTGGAAGCATATGTATCTTTCTAAGGAAGGCCGACTTACTCTTATTAAATCCACTCTCTCAAATCTCCCCACTTACTTTTTGTCATTGTTTCCTATTCCGGTTGCAGTGGCAAATAGATGAGAGAGATTTCAAAGAGAATTCTTGTGGGCAGGGTTAGAGGAGGAGAGGAAAATCCATTTGGTTAATTAGGGTACTATTTGTTTGCCTATGAGGATGGGGGGCTTGGAGTGAGGAGCCTTGTTTTGTTTAATAAGGCTTTATTGGGCAAGTGGTTGTGGCGATTTGGAGTGGAGAGGGAGAGCTTTTGGAGAGAAATCATTGGGGCAAAGTATGGTGTGATGGAGGGGGGTTGGTGTACGGTTGAGGGTCGTGGCTCCTATGGGGTGAGTTTGTGGAGGTATATCCGACGGGGATGGAGTAATTTTAGGGACAAACTAAATTTTGTGGTGGGAAATGACACTGATATTAGATTTTGAGATGATAGTTGGTGCGGCGATCAACCGTTAAAGGAGGGATTTCCCTCATTGTACCGCATTGCGTCAGAGCCTGCTGCTATGTATTAGACATTCATAATGGGGACTATAGTTGGAATATTACTTTTGGGAGGGGTTTACAGGATTGGGAATTGGAAGATCATTCGTTGTTTTTGACAACTCTGCATGAGATACAAATTCGGGTAGGAGAGGGTGATTGTAGCAGGTGGAGGTTGGCTCGAGATGGTATTTTTCAGTCCGCTCATACTTTCAATCCCTTTTGGGCTTTGTGGAGAGTTCATTACCTTGGAAGATGGCGTGGCAAAGCAAATTGCCTCCACGGGTAGCATTTCCATTGTGGACAGTTATGAGGGGGCAGGTGTCAACGGTGGATAATTTTCGACGAAAAGGATTTTATGTAACCGAGTGGTACTATATGTGCAAGAAGGATGGAGAGACGATTGATCACATTCATTGTGATGGTGTACGTTGACTTTGGAACAGTATTTTGATTTCTCAATCAATGGATTGGGTGCTACCTAAGCGTATAGAAGACGTGGTGCGGGCATGGAGGAGAAAATTTCGCGATATGGATAGCAAACTTCTCTGGAATCTTATTTCGGGATGCATTGTATGGTGCATATGGAGAGAACGGAACGATCGATGTTTCGAAGATCAAACAAAGACAACAGAGCAGATAAGATAATTATTTTACTTGACTTTGTATACTTGATTTAATGCAGTGGCTAAAAATCCTGTTGTAGGGTTGCCTAATTTCATGTTGTTCCTTTCATACTTAAAATGATTGTATACCTCCCGTGTACTCTCTTTTAAGGAATAAAATTATCTGATTACCTAATAAAAAAAAAACATTTATTCAAGAACTTGCTCCATGCAAGTGGAGGTCATAATAATTACAAACCAACTTACGACAATAGTAATATTATGAACAGGTATCTGGTAAACTAAATTTTAATGATCAATTTTCACATTTTAGAAAGTTTTTCTTTATCGGTCCGTAAACTTCTCCTGTGCTAGTGCAGTCAACTTTCAGATATTAGCCTACACCTTTGCATCTTTCCTAATTATCTTACTGATAAGTCATTCACTCACATTCTCTTACAATTGTCATTTTTTCTTCAGTAATTTCAGATCTTAAACTTCAAAATGTTCCTTCATTACGGTTCTAGTTTAACATATTATAGTTAATTTCAGTTGATCTCTTCCTGCCGTCAAATTACAAATATATTATGTTCTAGTTATTTGGTATTCAGCATTACCCTCAGTTCAGTCACTATTGTAGGTTAATATGATGTTAGTTCCTACCTAATGCATCATTCATACAATGAGTGATAATTACTTTACATGTCTGATTCTATTTTCATGAATACAATTAGAAGATTGTTTTGTAAGTAAAATTCCATCGAAGCAGCAAACAATGTGAGAACCCAAATACATAAACCGGGATCAATACTTGAAAGAAAGGATAACCTATGGGTTCTAGTCCTTATTCAGTAGTAAAAAAATTGAATCCAGATAACGGAATTCACTTGAAGTACTGAGGCAGTATACGCACTTTTTATTCCAACCCTGCAAGAACGAACAGAATACATTCAGTATGACATAACAGGAAGAAAACGGCAAAGTCCTACTCATATTAGTCTGTGACACACAATCATAACTAGTCATACTGGTCTACAGTAGACACAGAAAACGCACAACAGACAATACACAACAAAGTGATAGACAAATAAACAAAAACAGTGACTCGTAAAAGTGGAGAAACAAAAGCCAATAATCCAACTTACAAGGTAATGGACATGGTATTTCCACTCATTCTTCCGAAACTCTACTTTTTGAACCTTGCAGGCAAAAGAAGCAACAGATCGGGAAAAAAATAAAATTCAACCACCAATAAAACTAGTTAATTAAACTTAAATAATGTGAGAAATCGGGACAAAATGCCCTTCAAGTTAACAAAGAATATAACCCTAAAGAGGGTCGGTTTAGGGCATTACCTTGGCTTCATATATACGGGGGCCGTGATAGGCAAGGACCTTCTCGCCTGAGACAAAAATGCACTCTGAATTGGACTCCGGCACGTTTCCAGAGGAATTCTCGCCGTCGCTCCCTGGTTCATCCTTCGAACTACTCACCATTATCTTTTTTATCGCTTACTTTTTCTTCCCCAAAATTTTGACGGAATTTTATTCCTGTTCTGATAAAAATAACAAGAAGCGAATAAATTTTACTCTACTTTGCCTCCACGTTTTGCTGCAAACTACAAATTGGAAGTACCGCGGAGAAAGAGCAGTTTTG